TTTAGAACAGACTAATCTATGGTGAAAAAAATCAACAGTGGCCCAGCCGGGTGTGGCTCAATGGCTGAGCATCGACCTAGGATCCAGGCGATCAGGGTTCGATTCCTGGTCAGGGCACATGCCCGGGTTGCAGGCTCGATCAATGACTCTCTCATCATCGATGTTTCTGTCTCTCTCTCTCCCTCTCCTTTCCTCTCTGAAATCAATAAAGATATATTTAAAAAAAATAAAAATCAACAGTGATGGACTCTGCAGGGATGTTGGGGGGACTGGCTGGGAAGGGGCATGAGGGAGATTGCTGCAGTAATGGCAGTATTCTATATCAGGTGGGCAAGCTACATATAGTGGGGCAGGCCAGATCTGGCGCACCACCTGTTTTTGTGAATAAAGTTGTACTGGAACACAGCCATGCCTATTCTTTTACATTCTTGCCTACGGCTGTTTTCATTCATGCAATAGGGAAGTTGAGCTGCAACTTTCACACTGGACTGCTATTGTTGTGTTGCAAAAGGAAAGACTCAATAGCCCACAAAGCCTAAAATAGTTACTAGACCTTTACAGAAAAGGTTTGCCAACATCTGTTCTATACTTTAATAATGGCTTAGGTTACACAGGTGTATGTACTTTTCAAAACTCACTGAATTATAATCTGTGCATTTCACTGCACATAAATGTAAACTAAAAAAATATAAACAAATACTGAGTTCTAGTCAATGATATGCATGCTGAAGTATTTCTGGATGAAGTATACTGATGTCAGCAACTTTAATTTTGAAATGTCCCGGAAAAATAAGATGAATCAATAAATGCATAAGGGGACAGACAGAGCAAATACAGCAAAAGCCAACTGTAGAATCTAGCTGGTACATATATGGGTATTCACTCTACAACTTTTCCAACTTTTCTGTACCTTTGACATTTTTCTAATTTAATAAAATTTGGGGAAAATTCTTTTAATTAGGTAAGGAAAGTATATAACACATGGCCACAAAAATGAACATTCCAAACCAAAATACTTTGTGAAGAACTCTATTCTAAAGAAAAAAACCCCAGAATAGCATGCTCTGTCTGAAGAAACTTCTGCTGCAAAGATCTTTTAATCCTTGAGATTCCTGTTAGGAGTCAGAACACACACATAGGAATTCATTATAATTTATGCCAGCAATTTTCAACTGGTGTGGTGTGCCGCAAGAATTTTTAAAACATGCAATACCTGACTATTTAGTCAGGGGCACTGACCTCTTTTCCCGTAGATTGTCAAATAAAAAATGACAACAGGCAACACAACAACAGCCATCTGGTGTGAATGAATCAAAATTATACCCATTTTTTCTTGTCAGATCAGCAAAAAATGTTTTTTTGTGCGCCACAGAATTTTTGTATAGTTTATGTGTGCCATGAAATGGAAAAGGTTGAAAATCACTGATTTATGCCCTTGATAAAGAGAGAATTTTATAAAAGACACAATACTTGAGATAATAGCTCTTTGGAACAGTAATATATCATAATTAGAAAACTCTTACAGTACAGCATACCTTTTATCTAAGAACCTCAAAGCATTTTATTAGCCAAACTCAATAAATTCAGGAATTTTAGAGACATCTAAAGCAGAACAGAAGAGTAAGAAAAGAATAAACTGGATTCTCAGTTCCTTCCTTTAATGATTTCAATCAATTCCCTGTGTTAAATTTAAGTCTCACTGAAGTCATCATACCCTTTTCTCCATTCTGGCAGAAAAGACAGCTATCCTACAAAGAGCCTAAAGGGTATAATGAATAAGGGCACAGCCTCTGCAGCCAGGTAGTCTGGGTTCAAATCCTTGCCCTCCTGTATGACATTGGGAAAGTAACTTAACCTTTCTGAACCTTAGTTTCCTTACCTGTAAAAGGGGTAATCCCAGCTACTATTCACAGGGTTGTTATGAGGATACAATATGTCAAGCGGTTAGAAAACAGTATTTGGCACCTAGGAATCACTCAGTAGTGATCATTAGTATCATTTCATAAAGGCAAATGCTTTATTATAGATGTAGAATAAGACAGACTCCTAACATTTTAGGACTAACAACTACAGTGGCCTCCTTGCTATTCTTCAAACATGGCAGACACACTCCTCCCTCAGGGCCTCTCCACCACTTATTTCCTCTGCCTGGAACATACACTGTGGACTCCCTCACCTCCTTCAGGTGTTTGCTCAAATGTCACCTTCTCGATTAGGCCTATCCTGATGGCCACCTTACTGAAAACTGCAACCCACTTTCCTCCTTACCCTGCTCTAAATGTCCTGATCTTTTCGTACTGTATTATATAATTTGCTTTTTATTACGATAATTAAGTCTCCCCTCAGTTAGCCAACAAAACTCAGTGACAGAAAGCATCTTTGTTTTTTATTCACTGACATATCCCAAGTAGGTGCTCAAATAGTTTTTGTTATCACCATCAGGTCTAATCCTGTCACTTTACAGATAAGGAAACTCCAAAGAGACTTGGATCAAGGCCACCCAGTAATTAAGGAAAAGAGCCAGAAACAGGGACTGTGACTCCCAGTTCATTGCCATTTCTACTATAGCTCACTATCTCCCTGACCCTTGAACACTGCAGAAAAATCACAATCATCCACGATTTTCCCCAGTAGGATTTACCTTTGGAATGTCTTAGCTTTGCAAATGTTGCTATGTCTGTAACACAGCAATGCTCTGAAAGGCAGTGGAAGCCTGTACCAGGATACTAAGTGTTGAAAGATGGAAATGAAGATGGCTGATTTGGAAGGGCTATTCCAGCGCTTTGATACAAGATATGCTGTTGCAATTGTGTTTCTCATGACCCAGAAACAAGTGCTAAGCTAGAAGATGGCTGCCACTGTGGCTGGACAGCAGAATGCTGCTGCATACATGCTGGCTGGTGCTGTACTAGGTTTTTCTGCAGGCAAAAAATTTGACTGCTGTCTAATGCCTGAAGCACTTGAGGCTGCTCTAAAGGTTGTATTACATACTGTATTATTGTTCCACTGTCGCTGGTTCCAACTATTCTTGCAAAGGAGGTGTAATCTAGACCATGTTTGTAATGGCCTTTGGAATATATGCTAATGGCTGACCTTGGTTAGGTGCGTGTGAATGAGGTACCTGCTGCTGGAAAACAGCACGTTGGCTAAGCAAAAAAAAAAATGCTGTTGATTTATGTGACCATCTTGAGTAGACGGCTGATGGCTTTTCTGTGTTTGTCTACGAGGTGAATGAATTATCTGCTGATGCTGAATGAAAGCTGAGTGAAAAACCTGGCTTGGTATTAGATGTGACTTGGAAAGCTATGCAGAGAAGCATAGGGGCTGGATCTGGGCTTGTGAGGAGGCTGCTGAATGGAGGACATCTGCGCAGAGTGTTGAAACTGTTCTTCCATGGCCCTGTGAGATGCAATGCTAGTTGACTGGGCTTTTAGCTGCTGGTGTCCAAAATTGACATCTACTTGGGATGGAGCTTCTGAAAGCTGGACATTAAACAAAGGCTCAGTAGAATGTGTCGGTATATCTAAGGTTGATGTTAAATATGTGTTTTGTTGAAGAATTATTACCTTGAGCTTGTGTTAAACAGGCTTGTTGCTCACATGTATATGCTACATAAAGTAGTACTGAGTATAACTTCTGATCTTCAGAGTTTGTAATCTGTACTTTCTTGCTACTAGAAAGGTTTACAGTGTATAAGTGCTGGATTATAAAGGTTGCCTGTTCAGTTGTCTGGATGGTGTAAAGAGTTTGTCCTGAATAAGGGGCATGCTCAAAATTGCCTGTAAGCAGGCTGTTCCATAGGTTGCACAGAGTAAGCTACTTTGATCCTATATACTCCCTGGTCTGGAAACGAGGTTGCACTGGATAAGCAGGCTGCTCTTGGGCTGGGGCTGAATAAGCAGGCAGTACCAGTGGGTGGGACTGGATAAGAAGTCTGCAAAGAATGAGTTGGCTGTGATCCCAGGGGTTATACAGTGTAAAGAGGATGCTCTGGGGCTGGCAGTGAATAAACAGGCTGTGCTGGAGCCTGGATTGGGCATGTTGACTGTTATGGGTAACAGGCTTTTTCTAGGGGATGTATCACAAAGGGCAGCTGCTCAGGAGCCTTCAATCGGTAGGATGGAAGTTCTGTAGATGGTCCTGGATAAGTGTGTTCAACAGAATAAGAAGGCTGTTCCAAGGGCGGAATCACACTTTCTTTGTTTTTGTTTTAAACATATCTTTATTGATTTCAGAGAGAGGAAAGGAGGGGGAGAGAGAGGTAGAAACATCAATGATGAGAGAGTCATTGATCGAGCCCGCAACCCGGGCATGTGCCTTGACTGGGAATCAAACCCCAATCACCTGGATACCTAGGTCGATGCTCAACCGCTGAGCCACACCCGGCAGGGCTGAATCACACTTTCAATACCACCCTTTGGCTGCCACTGATTTACATGAGCTTCAGACTCCTGCAGAATATAATTCTGCTGAACATTTTTCGGTTTAATGCCATAATCAGGTCGTAAAGTTAATGGCTGCTGCTGAATACAGGCTTGGAAACAAGGCTTCTTCAAATGCATAATCTGACTTGTGGCACTGAAGAACCTGGAGTTTTATACTCCTGATGTGTCACTGGGTAGGCTGGGATACTGAGTGTATCTTTTGTGAAGGCTGATGGGCCCCAGGATGGCCCTCGATGGAACTAGAAGGGAGCTGTGCTGTACCAGCAGCATTCTGTGCTCTGCTCACATACTGAGCAGAAGAATGATTTGACAAAGCTTGAGGGTGATTTCTCTTCCAATTATACAAGCAATGTCTCAAGATTCTAGTTACACAATGTTAGTTAAGGTACATCCTCAAGAAGAATGTCTTACGTGAAGGAAAGCAGAAACTTTTAGCTTTCAGTGACTTTTATATAAACTATGATGAATTTATGAAAGATAGCCTTTGCCTGTCAGAAAATCTAGGCAATGTTAGATATGATTAACTAAATATAGCGCCTCTAAAATGTATCTTACCTTTATCTGTGAGACCTTCTGAACAGTTAATGGGGACACCAGGGGTTGTGAGACAAATGGTGGTCCAAGGACATGTACAGGCAAAACAGTGGACTGACCTTGAGCCAAAGGCAAAATCTGAGGCTGAGTCAGCTTTGGCTGCTTCTGTAACAGTTAAATAAGAAAAACAAAAATTAGCCCGGCCAGGTGTGGCTCAGCGGTTGAGCATCGACCTATGATCCAGGAGATCACAGCTTGATTCCAGTCAGGGCACATGCCCTGGGTTTCGGGCTCAATCCCCAGTAGGGAGCGTGCCGATCAATGACTCGCATCATTGATGTTTCTCTCTCCCTCTCCCTTCCTCTCTCTGAAATAAAAAAAAACATTTTTAAAAAAATAAAAAATAAATAAAAAGAAACTCTTCCATTTACAGTAAATATACTGATTATATATTTAAAAATATAATAGATCATCTTACCCCTGAAATCTGCTGGTAATGTCCTACTAGCTGCTGGGGTGGATACATTTTCCCTGGAACATTTACTTCGGCCTGTGGGGTGTTTGAAACCATTTGCGAGCCCATCATCTGGTCTGAGGAATAGGCTGTACTGGGCTGACTTGTATCTGAGTGTATAACTGATCCAGCTCCTGTCTCACACAAACTGTCACCTAGGACAAAGAAAAGTAACAGGTAGAAGTGAAAGCTTGAAGCACCGGGTCCAAACAGCATGGGAAATGGTGTTTATTTAATATTTTTACACTGAAAACTTGAGACATCATCAAATAAAATATGTACAATGCAGAATTAATAAAAAAAAAAAAAACTATCAACGTAGCCCTGGCCGGTTTGGCTCAGTGGTTAGAGTGTCGGCCCTTGGACTGAAAGGTCTCGGGTTTGATACTGGTCAAGGGCATGTACCTCGGTTGCAGGCTCAATCCCCGGCCTGGTTGAGGCGCATGCGGGAGGCAACCAATCGATGTATCTCTCTCACCTCGATGTCTGTCTGTCTGTCTGTCTCTCTCTCTCCCCCACCCCGTCCACTCTCTCTGAAAAAGCAATGGAAAAAATATCCTCTGGTGAGGATTAAAAAGAACATTTTTAAAAAAACTATCAATGTAAACTCTCTGTGCTGACATGGTAGTGTGCCAAAATATTCTTAGTAAAGCAAAAGCTAAAAACATTTCACATATATCCCTAACTAATTTATACTTGCCAATTGGATTTCAGTAAAATTTAAATGTCATATTCTTTCTTAGTCTCCTAGAACCTAGCTAAAGAATAATAGTCTTTAAACAGCAATTAGTTATTACTATGAAAATACTGTATCCTTCTAGAGAAGAGAATGCATTACAATAGAAAAGTTAGAGGCACTGTGTTAATTTTATACTTGAGTCCAAAATATAAAGGAAGTGCCTTAAAGTCTAGAAAATCCCTTCTAAAAGAATAAATCAGCCCAGCCGGGCATGGTTCAGCGGTTTAACATCAACCTAGGATCCATGAGATCGAGGTTCAATTCCTGGTCAGGGCACATGCCCGGGTTGTGAGCTCGATCCCCAGTCGGGGGCCTGCAGGAGGCAGCTGATCAATGACTCTCTCATCATTGATGTTTCTATCACTCTCTCTCCCTCTCCCTTTCCCGTCTCTGAAATCAATAAACATATATTTTAAAATATATACATATATCTTTAAAATATATATATCTTTTTATATTTTAAAATATGTATATATATATTTATTGATATATTTGAAAATATATATATCTTTAAAATATATATATATCTTTTTATTGATTTCAAAGAGGGGAAAGGGAGAGGGAGAGAGAGAGAGAGAGAAACATCGATGTGAGAGAAAACATCGATTGGCTGCCTCCTGCACACCCCCTGCTAGGGATCAAGCCCACAACCCAGGTATGTGCCCTGACCAGAAATCAAACCAGTAAACTTTTGGTGCACGGGATGATGCCCAACCAACTAAGCCACACTGTCCAGGGCTTGTTTGCTTTTATAAGTTATAATTGTGTTACCTGTAATAGAGGAGCATTGCTGCTGTGGTTTTCTTTGTAGAAGCTGCTGTTGAACTTGTTGATCAACTTCAGTTTCTTCACATTCAGCCACGGTGTGCTGAGCAGGAGCAGGGGGCGAAGTTGTATTCTGGGGATGAGGGAGAACATTCCCCACAGACTTGCACTGAGAATCCCTGCGTTCTTCTAAACAACCAGCAGGCTTCTTCTCTCTTGTCTTCTTTATCAGGGTCACCCGGTCTCTAATGGACTTAGCAACAGCTTTGGAATCACTTTCATGGAAGAATCCTGACTTAACCTACAAATAAATATAATAAGCAAACTACATCTTTAACGTTTAAGATTTTAACCTTTTTTTTTTTTAATAGTGGAGTTATTTTGTGCCCCCAAATTACAAATGCTATTAAAGAACAGTTTCTATGTTCCTTCTTAATTAGACATACGTAAATGTCAGAGCCTTTAATCAGCATAAGGAAAAACAGTACTATCACCAAGCATTGGTGAAATAATTGTGGCCTTAAACCAAACAAGCAAATAACTTGATGTTTCAGTACATGTAGTCTTATTACAAGGCATTTATGACTGCCATTAAGTTTTGTGACTTTAAAAGGGTTTCCTCATTCAGAAACATTAAGTGCCTTACAATGGGCTCCAGAGACATATAGGTAGGACTAAGTGGGCCCTTTGCCCTATATAAGCACAAAATCTGGTGTTGAGGGATAGATACAAACTTAACTTAAAATGAAATAAGAGGTAGAAGTGAGCTGCTGCAAAAGCCCTAAAGGAGCACAGGCCTTTCTGGAGGAAGTAGAGAAAGTATCACAGAGGAAGGTAAACTCTGACCTGGATTAAAATAAAAAAAAGGAACTCAGGCTTATTGAGTATAGATGAAGTTTAGAGACCAACACTGTAAGCAGAGGGAAGTATGCTAACAGAAAAGTAGTACAGCTACCTAGGTGCTAGAGGAATGAGAAGAGAAGGTAAGGACTTGTTGTCTGAGAGGAACAGGGCTGAGTAGCAAAAAAGGCTTGAGGAGGTGTCATGGCTTATTCTCAGTCCTACAATCTGCTTTTTAAATCATATCTTGGAAGTCTGCAGACTTGGGGAAATTTCATGGTGGTTGAAAGATGATCAAAATGTTAACAGAATCCATATATTTAATTTCATTCCCCTAAAAACCTAAACAACAACAACAACACCCCATAGTAAATGTATTTTTAAGTTATAAACCCACAAGGACAGGGAGAATAAGAGAAGGACAACAGCAACAATATTTTGAACACTTTTGAATACAGAAAACAAAAGATAAGTAAGAACTGACCTAGCAGACCTGAAAAAGGGGAACTAGGGAAAGCTGAGGCTCATTCCCATTTATGCTGAGTAATACTCATAAGGCGCAGAGATTGGCAGTATCACGTACTTCCAAAACTGGGTAAAATCAACAGATATGACTAAAAGAAGGAGGACTAAGTGAAAGGGCTTTGAAAAGCAGATATTTAGATCCCTGTGCCCCACCCTCCATTCCACACCTTTCAGTAACCGCTTCTCTCCTACCCAAGAACTCTACAGTTTTGTTCTCTGGAAAAGGTAAAAGAGAGGATCTCTGGACTATGGAACACCAGGCACAGTTGAGGATATGGCTACCAAGTGGAAGAAAAGAAGATTAAATGACCATATGCATGTGGAATGCCATATACAGAAACTTCCAGCCCTCTTCCCTACTTGGCTACCAAAATACCAGTAACCAGACCTTACCCTCCAGGAAGGACACTGAAAGATGCCTTTCTAGGGAATCTGACCAATCTAAGAAAGACCTACAAAGATTGATGTGAGAGATTTCCCAATTAATGGCCCACCCAGATACCCTACAGTAGAGGTCAGAATTAATAAGTTTGACACAGTAATCATATGGTCCAATTGGCTTGTTAGTGCCTGTGATAGGCAAAATTATGGCCCCTAATCCTCAAACCTGTGAATATGATGAGATGTCACTGTGCTATGCAAAGTTGACATTAAGGTAGGGAGATTATCTGGGTGAGCCTTTTAGCAGCTGGTCACACTAGAAGGATTTAACATGCCATTGCTAACTTTGAAGATGAAGTGGGGGGGCACGTGAAAGAACTGAAGAAGTGGCCCCTGGCTAACAGCCAGGAAGGAAATGGGGACCTTAGTCTTACAACCACATGGAATCACATTCTCTAACAACAACCTAGATGAGCCCGAAAGCAGATTCTGCTCCAGAGCCTTCAGATAAGAGCCTAGATGGCCAACACATTGACTTTAGCCTGTGAAACTCAAAGCAGAGAATCCAGCGAAGCCCACCAGGACTTATGACCTACAGAACTGAGATAATAAATGAATGTCATTTTAAGTCACTAAGTTTGTGATCATTTGTCGCATAGCAATAGAAAACTAATACACTCTCCCACTATTAATCATGAACAGCTGGCCAAAAATTACCAGAAATATGAGAAAAGCCTCTAATAGGAAGATGGGGCACAAAACTAACAAAGGAAAAAACAGCAAGTTGGAGAAAAGAGACTATGCAGGAGGGAAAAAAATGTCAAAAGCACTCCCTTTACTAATGTTAAAGAAGTGATAATATTGCTTTAACAAAACAAAGAACAAGATTTTTAATCTAAAAAGGAACAGACCAAAATATAAAGGAATTCTTGAAATTAAAAATATGATAGCAGAAATGAAAAACTCAATGGAAGGGTTAGAAGATAACACTGATATCATCTGCCAGAAAGGAGAATAAAAGACAAAAAGATGGAAAATGGAAAAGATAAGAAAATTGGAGAAACAGTTCAAGAGGTCCAACATCCAAATAATAACAGTTCCAGAAAGAGAAAACATGGGAGAAAAGAATCAATAAAATACTTCAAGAAATCTCCCAAAAGCTAAAGGGTATGAGTTGACAGACTGGAAGGGTCCACTGAATATCTAATGCAGTAAATGAAAATAGGCCCAAATCAAGACACACTGCTGTGAAATTTTAGAATACTGAAAAGAAAAGATATTACCAGCTTCCAGAGAGGGAAAAAATGGATCATATGCAAAAGATCCAGAAAACAGAATAACTTTGCACTTCGCAGTATCAATACTGAAAGCCAGAAAGGCATGGAGCAATGACTCCAATTTTTTAAATTGCCAACCTAAAATGCCTTAGCTGGCCAAATAATCAGTTAAATATGAAGAGAAAATAAAGACACTTTTTATACATGCAAGTCTCAAAGAATTTACATCCCATTACCTTTTCTTAAGAAGTTAACACAGGAAGTATGGCACTAAAACGAGAGTAAGCCAAGAAAGAGAAAGACATGGGATTTAGGAACATGAAGTCCAATACAAGAAAGAGGCAGAGAAGTCTATGAAGACAGTAAAGGGAAATACAAGGATGAGAGATGTGCACCAGATGTCCAAGGCAACCAATCCAGATTAGAACAGTGTGACTAGAAAGACAGACATGTTAAAGTCTTTTGTCTCCAAGATGCCCACTGTCACTGTCCCATTCTTCTTTTTAACAGAAGGCCCAGGTGCGCCTGCGTCACTGTATCTGTGCTTCACTAACCTGGACCATGTGCTGCCGAATGAAGCTCCCGCGAGCCCTCCCTTTAAGCACCGCAACAGCCCAGATCGGAGGTGGACACGCACTGCACCACGCAGAAGCTATCCGCTGTCATCTACTCTTGGGGGCCACGGGGCCATGGGAGATGAGAAGTAGATAGAGGGGCCCACTCCCTCTCCAACCATTATTGTTACCAGACAACTAATTTCTGGCCCACACGACAGTGCACTGACTGAGGGGAGCCGCGTGTTCGGTTCCCTGGACTCGCGCAGGGCCTCATCCACTCGCTTCCCCGCAAGCAGCTCTTGTAAAGCCTTCGGGAAGCTGAAGCCTGACAGTGACTGAGAGGCTCTGTTCAGCTCAGCCTCTCCTGGGCATCTTCACCTAAGAGTAACGTCAGTAACCGGCAGGGTGTGTGCTCGCCACTCAGGCTTCCAAAACAAAAGTATATATTACTTAGGTAAACTATAATGAAAAGCAAAGGAATGAACAACACAAAAGTCAGAATAGATATTGCCTGTGGTGATGAGGGAGTAGAATGCAACTTGGAGGGGCACACGGGTGGCTTCTAAGATACCAATTGTGTTGTTTCTTAACAAAGGTAGTAGATTATCAGTCTTTATATTGTACATACAAATTTAATATACTCTGCTTGCTGTAGAGATACATTTCATAGTAAAATATCAATTTAAATAAAGAAAAAGAGAAAATAAAAAGAAGGAAAGCAATGAGAAAGAAAAAGGAAATCAATCCTGATACTGTAAGGGGGGGGGGGAATAGCAATAGAATTCACTTACCATTTCATATGCTACTTCCTCAGGTGTATCTTTTTCTAAATTGAAACTGAATTCAATAGCTTCATTGTCTTTGTGCTTGCCTTTCAATTTTTTAGGGTCTTCAACCCAGAGTCTTAAAGCCAGGGATGAATTTGAGCAATCATCTTCCTCTGCTAACTCCACCCTCAGCCCTGTATCCTCAGCAAAAAATGCGTGGTTTAGTAGATTCCTGATAGACAACCTAATAAACAAAGTACATAGCTCATTATCAATCCTTCCAAACACAAGCAAGATATAGAACATTTAAAATTCATTGTATCGAAGTAACAATCTAGTTTAATTTTCTATTAATTAAACCATTAATCTGCTTTGTCAAAAACCCCCAAAATATTATATCTAACTTATTTTTACCAAGGATGCAAAAAAAAAAATTCCAATTAACATGTATCTGTAGTGACCTTAATTAAAGATTATTATGAGTAACATATCTAAGTACTGAAGTTTAACATACTTAAAAGTATGCCTTAGAGAGAGTTGGAGAAGTGCTGCAGTACATGTTATGTGGATTAGAGTAGTTTCCCTAAACCACTGGCCTAAGTTACTAAGACTCAAACAACAGATTCTCTGCAAAGGAAATGAAAATCTCTTCCAGATATATAAACTCTAAAGTAAATGAGAAGTTCAAACTCTTTACAAATGTTATAAACAGAACTCTTAGACTTTATTAGCAATAATCTAGTCAGTGTATGTCACACTACAGAGACTGCCACAGGTGAAGCTAACTTATAATTTAGTTCAGCAAAGTCCCATGGTTTTCTTACAGTATTTATGTCTGGTATTTTAGGCCAAAGTATACATACAACGGATACAAGACTAGCCTAATATCAGGGATTAACCATCTCTGAAGAGAAAAGAAAGTACGGGGGTTCAAAGGTTCTTTTACAAGCTGGGGCAGTTAATTTCCTTTCCTTTGGCCAACTTCTAAAACAGATATATAATATCTAATCTATCTGTATTACAGGCCATGGAGAACTAAAACTGATATATTCTATGTCTCCATAGAAAGCCCCTCCTGTGCTATTTAAAACAGACAACGCATATTGACAACATGTTATCTTGTAAATTAAAGACTTAAACCTTCTACATTTTTAGTGATCAAAAGACAAATACTTAACTAAGATAGTGTTATAAAAAGAATAATCTTGCTCAGACTAATTAGTTTTTAGGTTAAGGTGGGATGTTTTTAAGATGGCACAATCAAGTTAAGCCCTCTGTCTCTCAATGAAAATTTTGCCTAAGTATTTTACTAAGGAATAATTATAGCAATAGCAGCAGCAATTACCATTCATTAAATACTTATTACTGTTAGGTATTTTATATGCATTCATTATCTTTTAATCACCAAAATAACACCCATTTTGAGTAACAATGGGTAACTTGCTCAATATCACACTGGCTAAGTGAGTCCAGTTTTGAATTTTAGTCTCACATTGAAGCCAGCGCTCTTCCAACAAACTAATATGCCATGAATCCTTTTCAATATCCCAGTGTTCTTTGGGAATAAATCATAATTAAAATGCTGTACAAACAACAATCAGAATTCAAACTAAAATGGCTACTTCAACATAATATTTTAAGTCTTGCTCCTACAATTCAAAAAGAATAAAAATAAACAATCGAACTTTAAAAAGGGCAATGGGCCCAGCAGGCATGGCTCAGTGGTTGGGCGTCAACCTCGGATCCAGGAGATGGTGGTTCAATTCCTGGTCAGGGCACAGGCCCAGGTTGCGGGCTCGATCCCAAGTGGGGGACTTGCAGGAGGCAGCGGATCAATGACTCTCTCATCATTGATGTTTCCGTTTCTCTCTCTCCCCCTCTCCCTTCCTCTCTCTGAAATCAATAGATATATTTAATAAATAATTAAATTAAATTTAAATTTTAAAAAAAATTAAAAAGGGCAATAGTCTTGAATTTCCCCAAAGATGTGCAAGTGTCTAATAAGTACATGAAATATACTCAACATCATTAGTCATTAGGGAAATGCAAATCAAAACCACAATGAGATACCACTTCACACCTATTATGATGGCTATTACCAAAAAACAACAGAAAATGACAAGTGTTGGTGAGGATGTTGGGAAATTGCAACCTTCCTACATTGCTGGAGAGAATGCAAAATGATCCAGCCACTGTGGAAAAAGTTTGGTGGTTCTTCAAAAAATTAAATGTAGTATTACCATATGATCCAGTAATTGCACCAAAAAGAATGGAAAGCAGGGATTCAAGCAAATATTTGTACACCAATTTTCATGCAGCATTATTTATAATTAAGAAAAAGTAGAAATAATTCAAGTGTCCATCAGCAGGTAAGTGAATAAACAAAATGTGGTGTGTGTGTGTGCATATCTATGAAATATTATTCAGCCTTAAAAAGGAAATTCTGATACATGCTATAACATGGATCAACCTTGAAAACTATGCTAAGTGAAATAAGCCAGTCACAAAAGGAGAAATATTGTATGATTCCACTCATATGAGGTAACTAGAATAAGCAAATTCATAGAGACAGAGAGCAGAACAGAGGTTAGCAAGGGTTGAGGGAAGGAGGGAGTGAGGAGCGTTTAGTGAGCACAGAGTTTCTGTGGGGACGATGGAAAGGTTCTGGAGATGGACAGTGGTGACAGCTGTACAACGTGAATGTACTTAATGCCACTGAACTGTAACACATAAAAATGACTAAAATGGTAAATCTTATGTTATATAAATTTTACCATAATGAAAATAAATATATACCTAGATATGGCCTGTTGGTACAAACACTAAGAAGGTTCTGAAATAAAGCTATAATTAAACAGGCCTTACCTTAATGGCTTTATGTATTCTCAGATAAGCAACACTAATCTTAGATAGAAAATAATAAAAATAGGGGAAAGTCAATCAAACGCTGGTGAAAATAATTTCTATAAAGAACCTGTCACTTTTATTAACCATAATCAATAAGGAGGTAAAAATCAAATGACTAATCTTTCAATTTAAGTCAGCAACTGTCCAAAGCTCAAATTAAAGGACAATATAAGCTAAAACTAAAGGGAGTCGTCCACAAGAAAAACACGAATTGTGATACAAATAATCTAGAATGCTAATTCTTGAACGAAAACAGCCCTATCAACTTTCCCATCATAATATAAGTACATATGGTCAAATAAAAAAAACCTAGTGAGTTGATGGTTAAATTTTTTTAAACTATCATAAAAAATGATTTAAGTACTTACCTGAAGATGACACTGCAGAAGGTCTGTACTTAACTGTTAGAAGAAAGTTAACCTGGGGGGAGGGGACCCATTGACTTAAACTGATGCCTCAAGATGATGAAAGCTTGTCACAAGACATAAAGACAAACACAACCCAAATGCTGCTTCAAGGAAAATTTAGCAGATGATATCAAAGTCTAAAATGACAAGATGCACTGATACCCTTTACTAAAGACAGTGTGGTTTGGCTTCCACTCAAAAGTCATAACAAGTATGATTCAAAGGTCAGAAAATAACCTAGTGCAAGGTAAGAGAAAAACGCATCCACCAATCATGTCATTTCACTACACTTGCACCCACCTTTCAGATTTGTTTTGACGAATACAACCTTCGATGATTTCTTTCACTTCAGGATCAGTGACTTTATTGAAACTGGCTGGTTTTATGCCCTGGGAGAAGAAAAATGGTTTCTAGTCACAAATTAAGCAATTGAAAGCCCAAATCAACATGACATTTATTACAATGAGTTTTACCACTAAACTACATTCAAGTTTTAAATGAGATAAATATATACATACAGTATAAGTTTAACAACTTTTTAGACAAGGATTTTTTCATAGTTCTACAGATAACAGTGAAAATTATAAATAATCTAAATCAGTAACAATAGAGCCAAAATTACATGTTATGTAATGTATGTGCTAATATTATGTAGAAATTTAAAATGTTCTCAAAGTACCGAATAACACGAATAATTATCATACTGCAACATTAGGTAGGGGAAAACAGGACTCCAAAATGTACATACAATATAACCCCAATTAGCAAAATATAATAAACAAGTATTCTTTGAAATCAGAAAAAATAAATGTTATTAAAAAAACACTTTTGAAAATTTCTAAGAAGGGCTTCCCTACTGCAAACATTCCAAATCAATATTATTTCAAAGTTTTCTAGAATGGCTAGAAGCAATAAACAATCAAATTGACTTGTTGGAGAAACTAGGTCATTTGTCCTATAGAATATCCCATATTCTGGATATTGGCTTATTTCTTCTTTTAACTGATTTTTTTAGAGAGAGGGAGGGAGGGAAAGAGGGAGGAAGAAAGAAACATCAATGTGAGAGAGAAACATCAATCGGTTGCCTCCCGCATGTACACCAACCAGGAATCAAATTGGCAACCTGGGTATATGCCCTGACTGGGAATCAAACCTGCCACCTTTTGGTGTATGGAACACTCCGACCAACTCAGCCACATCGGCCAAGGCTGGCCTTATTTCTTATTGTCTCCCTACATAAACTTCTGGAGTCAGACTTGGGGTCAAAATCCACCATTAGTAATAGCAGTGTGAACTTGGATAAGTCACACCTCTAATTCTCAGTCTTACCATTTATAAACTGAAGGTAGCACCATCTTGTAGGGATATAAAGGTAAAAGCATGTGGCATACAGCATACATTTAAAAACAGTACCTATTAGCATTAGATACCTGAAACACTCTAACAATCTCTTTCCTGCCTATCTTGAGCCACCCAATTGGATATGATGTAGATCTCTTTTGAACAATCTTAACCCTTTGCTTCTACCTCCCTCACATCCCTTACAATATTCCCACCCTCTGATTTTTATAGTTATTTGTAAATTTATATTACTGTCCTACTAAAAATGTAAGCTCTTTGTGGGTAGCAAACACTTCTTATTCATCTTTGCATACTTTGCAATTTCTAAAAATTTACACATAGGAAGGATCACATACTGTATCTTTGAGCTATATTTTGAATGCCCTTTCATAATCAGGCTTTTAGAACTGAAAGAAACCTTCAAAACCATTTAGCAAATCCTTATTATTCAGCTTTGGAAAATAAGATCCATCCAATAAATATCTAAAAATTCTTCACAAACAAATAGATATAGATGATATATCTATGTTTTCCCAAAGATACTAATACAGAGCATTTTATATGACCCCAATAAAGTGTAAATATATAGCATAAATCTAAAGCTTGCTTCATTATAATTATGTTTAATTTAGCACTGTTATACAGAACTAAACCAAAGTTAGGTTTTAGTAAGCTGATTTAAACCGACTTCAACATGAAATATGGCAATTTGTGAAGTAAAGAGAATAACGTTATACCTACACTAGTTACTTTACGGTATATTTGAGCTGCATTTTGGCACTCAGAATAAGGGTACTCCGAAGTAGCCATTTCCAGCATACACATTCCAAAAGCATAGACATCTACAGATTCATCATAGTGCTCTTCATACATCTCTGGGGCCATAAACTCAGGAGTCCCTATGAAATAACACCACAACCACATTTTTAGTAAAGAGAAAAATGTATTCACAAAGATTACTTTCCCTTCGCCATAAGGATTACCTAAGTTAATTTCCGCTCCCTAAAAGAAACTTATAAATATAAAATTTGTTGAATACTTGCTATATCTATATAAAGCACTTAAAGAATTTCATTAACTTTCCGTACTGAAAAAGTACAATCTGTCATGCTCAGGATTAGGTAGTGATTACTAAAATTTGGTTTTATTTCTATCCTTTCTTTTTAGTTATTGAAATTTTTCATAATTAAATCAGTAAATTCTCTTTCTTAAATCCTCAGGAACTTTCAATAATCTTAAATATATCCCACAAAAGAAATACACTGGGATGTCTCCAAAATAAGGCAATATATAATAGGTATTTCAAAGTAAATTCACATTCTAGGCCAGGGGTCAGCAAAGGGCCAGATGATAAATATTTCAGGCTCTGCCATCCATATGGTCTCTGTCAAAACTACTCAACTCTGCCACTGTAGTACAAAAGCAGCCATAGACAATACACAAACAAGTGGGGATAGCTGTGTTCCGATAAAGCTTTATTTACAAACATCAGCAGCAGGGCCAGATTTGGCCCATGTGCTATATAGTTTGCTGCTTCCTGTTCTAGACATATACAATTAACAACTCTTTTCCCCCAACCAATAAACTATAAAATGTTAATCACCAATGACACTCTTAGCAAATGATGTGCGCATTAGGGTAGCTAGGCCTAGATCACCAATCTTCACAGATCCAGTAGGTCCCGTGATGAAAATATTGTCACACTTCAGATCGCGGTGAATAATAGGAGGAGTCCTAGTGTGCAAGAACTGCAACCCCTTTAAAATTTGCCTGCACCAGCTCCTTAGGACCTTTGGTTTCATGACTTTAAATCGTTTTAAGTACCTACATAAAGAAACAAAAGACCACGTTAATAAGCATACCTAACTTATTGTATGAGCACTATTAGAGTAAATCATTTAAGCTAGAAGATACTGTATGTGCCATATTACGATTACCATCACTAAGTTGTTTTTTATTGTCTGTTATGGCAAGAAAACTTTATGAAGAAAATTTTAAATCTAAGGCCTCATTCTTAGAGAAGATATCCTACCAAGTTTAGTATTTTTAATCCAAAACAAGAATCATTTCAATCAGAGTGGCCTTTTGTGAAATGGCAGCACAATTTTCAAAAGAAAGTCCTTCTCTACTTCCTAATAACTGCTTATATAGAGTAACCAGAAGGTTTAACTATGTAAAATTTTAGTGCGAGTATGCTAGGAAACAGAAAAAGTATACCCCACATTTAACAATTACAAATAAGTGATTATACCACCAAATGAAAAACTATAGTCAGAAACAAAACAATAGACTATAATTACATAGTATACAGCTCACTAGATATGTGAATGTGGCCACACCCCCAACTTTTCAGTATCTTTTACAAAGTGACATTATATTATCTCTATAATGATTTCTAATTCTAAAATCCTATGATATCCCACAAATATTAATTTCTCAACATTATATTTTCTAACAAACTTCATTAACATCCTAATTTTTTAACCTGCCCTGAAACATAGTCACTAGATTCAGATTCTACAAATTCTTTAATCAAGTAGTGCTATTTTACAAGCAACTTTTATGACTTCTGAAAATTATTTTCAAAAAGAACTCCATTAGCACTATCAGGGTCAACTTACGTCTTTAATGTTCCTGATGTCATAAGTTCAGTCACTAACACAATACATTTCTTTCCTTTTAATATAGACTCCCAGGAATCATAAAATCGAACTATATTGGGATGCTGGAGACCCTTTAACATCTCTGCTTCTTCCTTAAACCTTTGCTGCTCAGCTTTGGTTAATTTCCGGTCCTGAAATGGAGGAACAAATTCCAAATTAAAGCTTAGAAATTCTCATGCATACTTCTAATACCATTCAAATGAGTGCTTTACTTTATTGTTTTTACTTATATATGTATTTATTTTTGCCTGTCAATTCTTTTCTCAGGATCTATATAATCCCTGATATCCTCTGTCAGTGACTTTGACTCCTCCCATACAGCAGTTACTACATTTCATAACCTGCATGATAAACCAATACCTTGAAAAGCGTATCTTGGAAATTAACTTTTTGTGGTAATCATTTTGTAATATATACATATATCAAATCATTATGTTGTACACCTTAAACTTATACATTGTTGTATGTCAATTACATCTCACTAAAACGGGGAAAATAAATAAAATTTCCTTTGCTGGAAAAGAAAAACAATATCTAAAAATGAGAAAGAGTAATAATCAAAACAAATAATAGAAAAGTTTCCTTAAGAAATCCCTGAATTTCCACATCTAAAGGATCTATATATGTCTGGACAGGAATAATCAATTGTAAGACACCTAGACATTTATTCTGGTCAAATATATGAATTGCCAACATATTTCCAGACAGAAATATAAGGTTACCAACTAATGAAAGGCCTTCAAACAGACTTTGGACCTCTAATCTGCTATATTAAATGCTAGAACTCAAAAGAGCAATTTTTACTGAATTCTGAGGGAAGACTATGGCCCTAAAATTCTGAACCCAGACAACATATCAATCAAGTTTATAATGGAAAACATGCACACATTTCCATGAAAAACCAGAAAGTATACATCACACCATAAACCCTTTCTGAAAATAGTACTCAAAGAATTTCAATTAAGCCCTGGCAGGGTAGCTTGGCTGGTTAGAGCATCATTCCTATACACCAAGGTTGCAGGTTCAATCCTTGGTCAGGGCACAAACAAGAATCAACCAGTGAATGCATAAGTAAATAGAACAACAAATCGATGTTCCTCTCCCTCTCTCTTTCTCTCTCTCCCTTCCTCTTTCTCTCAAAGTCAATAAATAAAAATTTAAAAAATTTTTCAATTATATGTGGCCAAATAAAGTCACTAGAAAAGAAGGGTGTGGCATACAGTACATAATAGTAAGACATTTCCAATAAGGCTTACTTAAGAGTTTAGCCTAGTAATCAGGGCTTATCTGGTTGGTAAATTTGAATGAATTTTCTAAACAGTAATTAAAATAGAAGATATATAATGCAAGCAGGACAGTCTAGGTTTGAAATTCCAGATTACTTCATTAAAATATAATAGACAAGGAAGAATAAAAATTTTTATCTTCTGCAAAGGAGAAGAGGAGAGAAGGGAGTGATGATAGAACTATTTAACTTTTGATGTTGATAGAAAAATGATCATGTTTTTTCTTCTGTAGTCTGTTTATATGTTAAATTACATTGATTTCCAAATGTTGAACAATCCTTGCATTCCAGGAAAACCCCACAGTCATCATGTTACCCTTTTTATATACTGCTGGATTTGATGTGCTAACGTTATGTCGAACATTTCTTCATCCATGTTCATAAGGGATACTGGTCTGGAGTTTTGTTTTCTTATAATGTCTTTATCTGTTTTTAGTTATCAAGTGGGTTGGCTCTGGCTTGATTCTTGCTGTGCTGTCTTGAGGCAATCACTTCTATTAAAAAATTAGAGAAGGTGGCTTGGGCCCCCCCTTTGTCATCCTACACCTTCTAACTTTCTCCCCAGGGGTCTTCTAGGGAGGAGATATTAGAGACAGATTTTCCAGTAATTACATTTTATCACTAGCAGGAAGATATAAAGCTATCTTTCTCAATGTTTGTACTGTTTTTTTTCTTATTTATTGATTTTTCTAAAACATCCACAACAATAATGGTGATCAAAAAAATAATGGTGGTAACAGTCATCACTCTCCTTCATTGTATTTTAATAAAAATAGCTTTATTATCTCACAGCTTAGAATGTTTACTGAGGTTTTTTTGTTGTTGTTAATCCTCATCTGAGGATATTTTTTCCATTAATTTTTTAGAGAGAGAGTGAGGGGGACAGAGAGGGAAACACGTATGTGAGAGAGACACACAGATCGGTTGGGGCCAGGGATGCAGCCTGCAATGGGGGTACGCACCCTTGACCAGAATCAAACAGGTGACCCTTCAATCTGAGGGCCAATGCTCTAACCACTGAGCAAATGGGCTACGGCTGTTTAATGAGTTTTGTTTGTGTTTTTGAAAGCAGTTAGCACATGTTGAAGTCATTTCTTTATATTACTACTTTACTTTTATTTTTTAATGAGGAGTAACTGCTGAATTTTATCAAATGTTTGCTAAGCACCTACTGATGTGATCATATGATTTGTTGATAGGTAACCGATACAGAACTATTCTTAAAATCTTAAAACAAAGCCAACCTAGTTGCAGGATATTACTCTTTTGATACACTGATGAATTCTATTTGCTGACACTTTACTCAGGATTTTAACAACTATATTTGTGAGATTCTTTTTGGTATGATATAAAGATTTGGTATTAAGATTATACTGGCTTTATGAAATTAATTGGGGTTAAGTAGTTTTAACATTGGAATCACTTGTCATTTAAAGCTAACCTGGAAATCAAGCTTTGAATCTACTTGTTCCTGATGGGTTTTTTCCTCTCTTTTTAAATTATAAAAAAATTCAGGCATAAAGAACAAGGTACTAACAGCTAGCTCTGTTGAATTTTGACATTTTGATAAATTTCCTTCCATCTTAACAAGGCATTACAAATATAGTTGAAGTCCCCCAGATATCCCTCCTTGATTCTATGTGTTCTTTTACAAGCTATTTTGCTCAATATTATATTTTTAATACTTACCTATTTATATGTACAGTTATTTATTTTAATTATCATTCTATTTTTATGCTTACAATTTTTTATTAATTTTAGTTATCTTTATTAATTCCCTCTTCCTTTATTTTGCTTTTGTTTCCTGTTATTTCCCTAATGTCATAAAAAGAATACTAAATTCCTCCTAGTTGTTATTAATTAATAATGGAGACATTTTAGGGGATACATTTTCTTCTGGGTAAAGCTTTTACAATGATCCACAAGTTTTGTTGTAATGTACTCTCTTTTTCAATTTTGATTTTTCTCCTTGATCCAAAATTTACCTAAGAGTATGACTTCTGATCTCCAATTAAGAATATTTTGGCCATTTGTTTCATTATTTCCAATTTTATTGAGAAATGTAGAATATAAAATTCCTTTTATTTAACTGAAGGTTTTCTTTGGGCCATATATTCAACCAACTTTTTTAGTCGATTATAGACTAGAAAAATGTATATTCCCTATTTGAAAGATATAAGGTCATTATATTATCCAATTCCTCTATATTTATTCACTTTTTGTCCACTATATCTGGCCTATTCTCAAAGGCAGGCATCTACTATAGCTACATATTTATCCATTTTCTCTAATCTATTAGAGGTTTTGAGTTTAAATTATTAGCCAAAATATTTTTGGTGCCTACAGTTCTCTGATATAATTTCTTAATCTGTGAAGTAAATAACTTCATAATATCCTGTTTGATGCTTTAACTTTTCTTCCTTCTGAGATAGATATTAATATTGCCATTCCTGCTTGCTCTTTGTTTGCTTATAACTTTACCTTAGCCTTTCTTGATCATTGTTTTAAGTATGTTTTTATAAACAACACATGTAGGCTTTGTCTTTTAACCTCATCTGACAGTCTTGAGTTTTTTTAACAAGCAAAGGCAATATGTCCACATTTGATATAGCAAATGATATATTTAATTTTACTCCTTCCATCTTATTTTGGGTTCTTTGTTTTTTCTTTGTTCTTGTTAATTTAGAATTATATCTTTTTTTTTTCCTTTTTACTAGCGTTTAGCTTCCTTTTCCTGACATTCAAAACCAAACACTAATAAACTAATTCAGCAAAGTTACAGGACACAAAATAAACACTCAATTCTTAAAAATCAGTTGTGTTTCTATAAAATGAAATAAATAATCCAAAAAGGAAATTAAGAAAACAACTCCATTTACAATAGCATCAAAAAGGAATAAACTTAATTAAGGAGATAGAAGACTTGTAACACAGAAAATTACAAAACATTGCTAAAATTAAAGAAGAGAAATAAGTGGAAACACATCCTGTGTTTATGGATTGTAAGACCTAATACTGTTAAGATGTCAATGCCAAAAGAGATCTGTAGATTCAATGCAATCTTTATCAAAATCCCAATGACATTTTTCCCACAAGTTAAAAAAAAATCCTAAAATTCATATGGAATCTCAAGGACTATCAAACACCCCAAACAATCTTGAAAAAGAACAAACTTCAGCCCGGCTGGGCGTGACTCAGCGGTTGAGCATCGACCTGGGATCCAGGCGATCGGGGTTCGATTCCCCGTCAGGGCACATGCCCAGGTTGCAGGCTCCATCCCCAGTGGAGGGCGTGCAGGAGGCAGCTGATCAATGACTCTCTCATCATTGATGTTTCTCTCTCTCTCCCCCCTCTCCTTTCCTCTCTCTGAAATCAATAAAGATATATTAAAGAAAAAAAAAAAAGAACAAACTTCAAGTTCCTGATTTCAAAAGTTACTACAAAGCTGCAGTAATCAAATGATACCGGCATACAGACAGACATAAAGATCAATGGAATGGACTATAGAGGCTCAAATAAACCTTTGCCTACATCATCAAATAAATTATTTTTGACAAGGGTACCAAGATCATGGCAAGGATAGTCTCTTCAACAAATGGTGGGAGAAAGTGAACATCCACAAGCCAAAGAATGAAGTTGGCCCCTTACATTATACCATATACAAAAATTAACTTGAAATACATCAAAGACCTAAATATAAGAGCTAAAATTATAAAACTTTTAGAAGAAAACATAGGGGAAAAGCTTCACGACACTGGGTTTAGCAATGTATTTTTGGATATGATACCAAAAGCACACAGGTAAAAGAAAAAAATAAACTGAACTTAATCAAAATTAAAAACTTTT